TATACTTTATATGTATAAATATATATATATATATATATACACTGAGTGGCCAGATTATTATGACCACCTGACGTTTATTAGCTATAATTAGCTATAATTTTGCGCTGAAGTTGATAGAGGGCCAGACCATTATACATTTAAACGAACATATGCCAGCAATGTACACCAAGTGAACATGAAGCAGGCATATGCAGTTAGTGTATAGGAACACAAAAACTAAATTTGTTGTTACCTTTCCTCTTCGTGTCCTCATGGAAATGGCTGCAATAATACTTTTCAAGTAATGTGTGTATAGTACAATTGACCTCTCCCCACCCCCTATTCATTAGTGTTCATAGTGGCAACCCGCCCCCTTCCTCAGACAGTGTATTCTGTGCAAAGGCAGAGCTAGTGTTTACTGATCGTGTTACACAGAATCACAGAGAGGGGGGCAGCTTTTTACAGACTGCTTTACAATCCGACCCCGGTGTCGGACTAAATTCCCTGTGGAAAAAATTTAGAATTTCTAGGATTCAGGCCTAATAATAAGTTCATAAAAAATGAAGAAAGCCTGCAATGCGAGTTATGAATATGTGCACACGTATACATAATCACTCCACTTCTTCTACATTAGCACAGTAAATGCTAATCACTTACAAAGGTGGAAATGAACTTTAAGGCAAATAGGCTGTTCACTTTGCACGGGAATTTCCCCTTAGCATAGGAAATGTGGTGAAAAGTCATTTTGCAAAGAACCCCCAATCACGTGCAAGGAAAATGTAAAAAAAAAACCCCAGTATTTTTGCTTCCATGGGATAAGATGACGGAAGTAAGCAGAGCTTCACTTCATTCATTAAAATAAGTATAGCCTATTTGATTTTAGTAAGTCAACCCCTCTCTGGAGCTATATCTCTGGAGCTAGTTTGTTGATGTTGACTTGACGTAGTCTCTGATAACGCAGAAGCTCAGTTTAAATTATGCAAGTATGTGATCTGCTACAATTTAAAAGGCTTTTAAGCTATTTTAAATGCTTGTTAAATCATTTTCAATGGATGCTGCTTCCTGATGTTTGAAAGTTTTAGCTTCCTGCAAAATCAACTGGTCCCCTGAGCACGGGCCCGATATCCTGTTTTGGGCTCCTTTCCCCAGAAAGGTCCCATAAAGCCACCCTTGTGTGTGCTAGTAAGCTGTGTGTGTCTCCACAAACACACATACACAGCAAGACAAACCAATCCTCTGCTTCTCCCATATTTGTCCCTTCTCTAAGCTATTAGATAAATAGTGGATGGAGACTGTGCTGTCCCTTGTGCTCTTGTACTGCACAGGATGTTCAGGGAAGTGGAGCTGAAAGAGTTGAAGCCAGCTGTTTGGAAACATGATGACTAAGCGCTTAGGCAAATATATAAAGAAATACTTTGCTTGTTTCATCTGGATCCATTATTAAATGTAATCTCCAAGGAATTGAACAATGTAATCTTTGAACTTCATTTTTTGTTATTAATGGGTTTCGGGTTTCAATTGTGCAGGTTTGTGATGCGTTTCCTTAAAATGTTATCTGGGAGATTTGAATTGAAGGATTATCATCCCTAAAGCAAATCCAAACCCAAGCACAAATATTTAAGGGTCTATACACTAAGCTGCCGAAGGATCTAGCCGTAGCTTTGGCTGATCCTTCGGCTAGCTTCGGCCCTAGGACCCCTTCGGTTCAGTAGAACCGAAGGGCTGCTGTACGGGCTATCCACTATAGCCCGTACAGTTCCCGAAGTCGGCCAAGCGGCTCAGTCGAGCCAAAGGCATATGCTTCGGCTCGACTGAGCCTGAGCTGAAAGCCGAAGCTGGCCGAACGGCCGGCCGACAGCCTGCTACTGACTGCTGGGCAGAGCCAGCCGTCATCTCACTGCTGGCTCCGGCCACTTGCACAGACAGATCAGCGTCCCTGGTTACCGGGTAACCAGGGACGCTGATCTCCAGATAGCCCAACTTATCAGATAGCGGCTTCCGGCTGCCCAGGAGAGAAACGCTTTCTCCGGGAAAGTTTTACTCTGCTCGATCGAGCAGGATAAACCTTTCCCTGCTTTGTTGTCTTTTTTTTCCATCTAACAACGGAGGCGTTGGCTGCCGTCAGAATAAAATAAAAAACACCATAGGGATGCATAGCTAGATTCCTATTGGCTATTTCAATTTGCAATAGCCAATAGCAAACTAGCTATTGCACCCACCCACTGCTGCTGACAATCAGCAGAGGGGACCTGAAGTTCTCCATCATCTGACAGCAGCAGAACCACCCGGCAAATAGAAAACAGTTGGGCGGAGCTAGCTGTCACTGCACCACAGAGGTACCGAGCAGAACAGACGAGCCGAATGCCGCTCGGCACACTATTTTCTAAACATTTTTTAAAGGTGATGAGCAGTAAGCCTTCTAACTCTATGGGTGGAGCTCTTTACTCCATTAAGGACGTAAGTAAAGAGAACACGGGGAAGCAGGGAGTGGCAATTAAGGGCTAGTCTAACTACCGCATAACAGGGGGAAGAAATAAAAAGTAGAAAGGCTTAAAAAATCAACACCTTTAGGGCTTGTTCACACCAATTGCATCGCAATCACTCACAAAACTTCCCCCTGCGTTCTGGGGCGGGAACCCCCCAAAGTGTGATCGGACGTGTGGCAAAATATTGCCTGCGTTCCATTTCACTGCAAACGCAAACAATGCTGCATGCTTTTTTTTTTCACTACACAGCAAGAAAGCAAAATATGGGACCATTTTTTTAAGCCTGATCTGTAACAAGACCACAACTAGATTAGTTTATCATCAGCCCTGTCCCTTTGCAGCAGTAGTATGGTACAGTGACACTGCACCAGTAGAAAATATATAAGTATACATCCATTAATGTACAAAGCATACTACAAAACCTAACATATAAAGTAGCTGTTTGCAAAACTATCCGTCCACAAATGCAGCAGTAGGGGGTCACAAAAACACACACACTATAAATCCTTTGTAAATGAGAGGCACAGGGAATTACAGTAGACGTGTCTTATTCTATAAGCAAATTGCTTGATAAATCCCCACTGGTATATTTAAAGACTGCATACATTATGAGACCGCCGCATAATTTTATTTTACGTAAGTGCACTGCGGTAATAAATAAGCTATTTTCGAATGCAAAATCATTACACAGTAGATGAGTGCAGTTACCGCTCTGTAAATGCCATATTTCTATTTAAACAACATCACAAAGTACACTGTGAGGGTTAAATGGTATGCATGGAATGCTGATTTATTGGCTCCATAAGACAATATAAACATAGTCTGAGAGAAGACATATTTTCCACTAGGCTCTAAATATTACAGTTCGATGATCTCCACAGACATTTAGGAACGGTAAATGCAAGTGAATTAAATGTCAGCAAGCCAAACATGTATACTAATGAGCCGGATGTAACAATAAAAGCTCTGGTGACATTTGATACAGGGCTCATGTTTCCTGTTAGCTACTGCACCAGAGCGGGAGCAATAGGAGGGTCACAGGAACGTGCACTGCCATATTCAACTACCGTTTAAGAAGACAGCTGCAAATATGTGATATGACAGATAAATAACCAAGCTAGGGAAACTACTACCAGATAAGCTAAACAAACAAACAAACCACACAAAGCACATCAGGAAGCCGGAATCCCAAAGTGATAACAGTTCTAATCACAGCATAGACTGTGGCCAGAGATAGATGGGTTGATGTCTGAAACTTCCACGTATAATGCTCAATTGGGCTTATCAGTATGACACTTGTCAT